TATTTAACTGCACTCCAGAACAGATGTCCTATAAATTACAACTGTGCTTCCTACAAAAACGGTATTAGAAATGTCATTTCTTGGTGTCTATTTTGTTTCCAACAATTTGAGTCAGAATTTAGGAGTTCAATTTGAGGTTTACCAGCAATTTTTCATTAAAGAAAACAATACACAGCCAGAGGGGAACATTGCTTGTGTTCTTAAATACAGTAGGATTGGGTATCTGTGGGTGATTGGTTCCAAGCCTCCCCTCCCCCCCCCACACACATGGATGCCAGAAACAACAGTTAAGCAAAGCACTTACTTCCAGTTTCTTTGGTGTTCTTCCATGGTGGAGGGAGCCCTGGCCCAGTCCTGCCAAAGGACTGGGTTTCCCACCCTCCTGTTTGCAAGGCAGGCTTCCTTGAAACCAGCAACTGATGCCTCCCCATTGCTCCTCCATTTCACCAGGAGAGGTTAAGCCATGAGTGCATTTCGGTTAAGCCATGAGTGCATTTCCATTAAGCCACCTGTATATAGCAGTCTCTGGTTCCATCTAGAGGCCAGTCCTAGCAATATTACCTTGGGAATGGGTATTTCTGAGCAGTTTTATTTTTCTCAGGCAACAGATAAGTGAAACTGTGGATACTGATTCCACTACAGTGGTGCCTCGATTTATGAACATAATCCGCTCCAGAATAATGGTCATAAATCAAAATGGTCATAAGTTGAAGCATCATTTCTCATAGGAATGCACTGAAAGGCAATTAATCCGTTCCAGCCAAAGAAAAAAATCACCAAAAAAAATCAATGCAAGACTCATTGGAAATGAGATTAATCCCTTCAGGCCGAAGAGGGGGAAAAAAGGAAAAGCAAGGGAAGCATGCAGGACCCATTGCAAAAGCACAGAAAACAAACAAAGCAGATTGGAAATGCACAGAGAACGAAAGGACAAGTTTGGAAATGCACAGAAGGCAAAGGAAAAAGCAAGGGAAGCATGCAGGACCCATTGCAAAAGCACAGAAAACAAACAAAGCAGATTGGAAATGCACAGAGAACAAAGGGACCAGGTCGGAAATGCACAGAAATAAGAGGCGGAGCTTCATTGCGGTGCAGCCAGCAGCTCCCGGGAATAGCTCCAGCGAAAAGCTGGAACCACCTGGTCTGGGATTCCTCTAGAAATGGGGGATCAAAGGGGAGACCAGGGGAGGTCTCTCTGAAGCAGTTGGTGAGCATCAGAAGGAAGAAGATTGGGCAGCAACCTGATATTTCTCCCCTCTGAAAATTCACCCGAGCATGGATCTGATGCGGGAGCCATCTTGGCAGAGAGCTGTGAGCAACTCCACCCCCTGAGGAGAGGAGAACAAGTAATACGGCATTGAAAATATATATTAAAGCAAGTTGAAGCCTTTGATTTATGAACAACCCCACTAAGATGAAAAAGAAATTAGAGTGAAAATACCTGGCTGAAAGAAGATAAAGAGCAGCGAGTTTTGCTTACTAGTCTGCTTCTTCAAAAATGAATTCTTAAACAGCAGGTTGGTTCAAGGCCGAAAGAGAGAGAGTGAGAGGGAAAAATCTTTTGTTTCTGGAAAAAATCCCAGAGTGAAATACCACTGGTCAGGCTTTAAGAGACTGAAACTTTGTGAATGCTGTTTAGCCTGGATCTTTCTTTCTAGACTGTGTGGGACTCTGATAATAGAAGCTTGCTGGTTTTCTGGAGGAGGAATAAGCTTTTGGAAGCAAGAAAATGGATTGTGAACCATCAGCGGGAAGATGCAACCAATTAGACTGAGGAGCTAGGAAAACCAGGACTGGAGTTTGACGGATTATAAGGATATCTACTGGAGAGACTGACCCCGTGTCTGCTGTTTACTCTGGATTCTTTTTTGCTGGACTGTGTGGAACTCTGATAATATTGCCACGGTTGTAATTTAAATTGTTGGGCTAAAAGTTGATTTCTATACTATAATATCAGTGTAAGGATGACAGGAAGTACCTAGGGAAGGTTTATGATTGTGGGTTTGGTTTGTTGATAAAATAGTGGAAACTTCGGAAAGATATTGGAGGGTTGGCAACTTTGGTTAAGGATATAGTATTATTTATACAGACCCTACTCAGTGAAAAGATTGAAATGGCCTCTGAAAAATTAAAATATCAAATGTTGGGGACCTTGTCTGCCCAAACTCAAAATTTGGGAATACGGGCACAAAAATCAGATAAAGAATGGCAGGCTAATATGCAAAAGATAATAACAGGATTTCAGCAGGTAAATAAGCATCTCAGCCAGATGAAAGAGAAGTTATCAGATGTTAAACTACAGTTAAATGAAACTGTACTAACTCCAGAACTGCATTTATTGAGTGCGATGCCAGGTAACACAGATGGGATAAAGAGTTACCCAGGGAGCTATTTAGCTACTGCAGTCAGAAAATGTTATGTTAAAAATTGGTTTACTGTCCTGGATTCATCCTTCTCCTCCAAAAATTGGAAAAAAAAAAAGACACAGAAACAAGAGGAGCATATTGAGAAAATATGGAAGTGACAGAAATGGATACTTTTTCAGGTGTGCTGAATGACTGTCCAAGGCAGAAGGAAATTGAACGAGGGGATGTATTTTACAAATGGTCTCCATTTCCTGATAGTGTTGTAGTAACTTAGATTTAAACTAAAACACAACTGTAAGTTGATAGTTGGAGGGTAATCAAATAGTTTTTAAAAAGCAGAAAGTTGATTTTTCATTGAAATATGAATAGATTGGATGATTGTATACTCTTTCCTATCCTTTAAATCTTTTCCCCTCCCCCACTGCCTTTTACCTTCTGTATTCCCTACCGTATTAAAAAAACAAACAAAGGAAATGCACAGAAATCACAGGGAGCAGATCAAAAATGCAAAGAGAACAAAGCAAAAAGCAACAGAAGCATGAAAGACACATTGAAAAGGGGGGGGGGAATCCCAAAAAACAACCAAACCCCACAAGACCCATTGGTAGTTGGGGGAACAAAAAAAAACCCCAAGATCCATCAAAAATCGGAAAAAACACTCCAAAAAGCAACCAACCAACCCCCATCGGAAATGGGGGGGCGAGAACCAAAAAGCAACCAACCCCCCAAGACCCATCACAGCACAGAAACATAACCCCCCAGCCGAAAACCACGCTACAAAAATACCAAGAACAGTTTTTTAAAAACATAAAGCAGCACCATACCTTAGCAGGCAACCTCCTTGGATCGCACACTCTCTAGCTGCCAGGGTGAAAGAGCTACAAAGAAGCAGCCTCTTTCCCATCTAAAGTTAGCAATTCAAATGTCCTGCCTTTTTTCCTTGCCTTTTTCTGTTCCTAAGTGGAAGCTCCGGTCGCAAGTAGAAGCAAAATTTTGTGACCGGAGCTGTTTGTAAGTTGAATTGATGGTAAGTAAGGATGGTCATAAGTCACATTTTAGAACTGGTAAGGGCAAAGAGGCCCACATGTGAACAATATACAGTGGTGCCCTGCATAGCGACGTTAATCCGTTCCAGGATTAACGTCACTATCCGGATTCGTCGCTATGCGGGGGGAAACCCCATAGGAACGCATTAAACTCCGTTTAATGCGATCCTATGGGGGAAAAACTCACAGGTACACAAAGTGAAGATTCCCCCATCTGGCTGCCATTTTTGCTGCCCGGTAAGCGAGGGCAGGGCGCGAAAACGCTGCGGGTGGCCATTTTGCTGATCCGGCGGCCATTTTGGAACCACCGATCAGCTGTTTTCTAAACATCGCAATGCAAAGATTGGTAAATGAAACGCTTACTGATCATCGCAATGCGATGTTTAGCCTATCTAAACATTGCAATGCAGTTGCATTAGCGATCGCAAAAAACGCGTCGCTGTGTGGATTCGTCGTTAAACAGTCTGCTCGTTAAGCGAGGCACCACTGTATATTATTCCAATATGTATTGGAATATGTTCAGTATATACTGGAATATGTTCCAGAATCCTTTGCCATATATTACCTAACTTGCATGTTATGTGAAAAAGGTATAAAGCCTGAAGATCTCGGCTAATAAATTGAATTTCAGTACAGTTTTGACAAAGTGGGATCCAATTTGGGGTGGGTGAAGTGCAGCCCAGAGTCTTGCAGACACCAGGCAGCATCTTCACCCATTTCGGTGTGAAGGGAAAAGTCCTCAAAATGGCAAATCACACACCCCAGAATCCTCAAGGGGCGGTATTTGTCCTCTAGATGCAACTTTGCCTTCCCTTGATTTTTAGACTAAGAAAGGTCTTTAAAACTGCTTAGAGCAATTCAAAATCATTTCATTGCTTTTCATTACCAAAACAGGAATGAAGGCAAATGCTTTTCCTAAAATAAACTACTCCAAAGGTTTAGATCTTCCTGTTAGAATCATCATACCACATTGATTTAATGGGAGTTATGGATGGGTATCTGGCTATGGAGTTAGAATTTGGGAGTTCAATTTCCTGACTATACCTCCCAGAAGGAGAACCAGCCTCTGTAGCCCTGCGCAAGCTGCAGCATCCCAGAGTGTCCCCAGAAGGGAATGGAAAATCATTTCTAGGTACTGTACACCCTAGAAAGGGTCACCACAGGACAGAGCCAGCCTGACAGTGCATAATTATTCTTATTGATTCCTGGTAAGTATTCACAAGCCTATAGCTTTAATACGGAAAATCTTTCCAAGATTACTAAAATACAGGTATTATCTTCCTCCTTGTGCCTAAATAACACATCAACTACTGATGTAAGATAGTACATTTCACCTTCCCTTCCTTCATAAGTCACATCTCACTCACCCACAGTACAGTTCTGCAAGATCAATCAAATGACCCAATGATATTCAAGGCCAGATTAGAATGTGAGAAGACCAATGCTTTTAGGTGAGCTCCTCTGGATTTCAAAGCTGCAAAACAAAGGGCTAAGGCAACTCTCTATGAGCCTACATTGAATTCAGTCAGCTTTACACCTCAGGCAAGTACTGAAACATTTCAGACGCAAGATCAGTAATACAGACCAGTTTCTAAGTATCCAGAACAATCACTTTATTGGACAGGTTCCCGAAGAATGAGCAAAGTGCTTTTAGACAGCCAGTATCTACCACTCAGCAGTCGACCTATGTGGCCAATATGGATATTTCTCTTTATCCATCTTTGTTTCAGGAAATGCCTCATAGTATTCCTCCAAGGTCATGTTCTCAAAAGGAACCATATTTTTATATTTCTGAAGCTTGAAGAAGAAGAGACAATAACACAATCATTAATACTTTATAAAATGCATTTCTTAAAATAACGAGAATACATTACTTATTTATGTACTGTATTATTTGTAGGCTGCCTTTCCCCTGACAAGGGAATTCAAGGCAGCTCACAATGTTAACACAAGTAAAATTAAAAATACAAGGGAGAAAACTTGCTTAGCTAAAAACCACCATCCAGAGACTGAGTTATGGTTATTAAAAGCCTGCCTGAGGAGTTGGTTCTTCAGGTTATGGCAGAAGGGCCAACCTAACCGCCCAATGGAGAGCATTTAACAACCTGGGATCAGCCACAAATAAGGCCTTCTCCCATGTCCCCATCAAATGTGCCTGCAATGGGACCAAGAGGAGGGCCTCCTCTGATGGTCTTAAAAGATGGGGAAGATATGGTCCTTCAGACAGTCTGGTTTTACAGGTAATAATCTATCCGGAATTGGCCAAGGTGAAGGGCCTCCTTCTATCATCTCACCTGACCAATTTGCAGCGTTTTTTAAATCTAAAGTGGAGGCCATCCGCCGTGACCTTTCGCCTTTTTTAAATACAATGGATCGAGCAGAGATGTCCAGCGCTCCGTCCTGCCTGGTAATTCTCGATTCTTTTCAGCCTGTAACATCAGAGCTGATAGACAAGGCGCTTGATCGCTGT